CCACATGATTTTAGTACCTGCAAGACAAGAAAAATAAGTGAGGAGACTTACCTTGGCCGCACAAGCTGGAGGAGGGCTGCACAAGACTTGATTGGAATCAAACTTGAGACCCACCTTGTCAATTTCCGCACAAATCATGGGTGTGGTTTGTCTCCCTCCTCAAAGGGAGTTGTACTCGTCCAAATGAGGTGTATAAGGTGTCCTTGGATAGCCTTTGAAGTCTATTTTCATAATTGAGTGGTATCTGTTAGAGAGGAGAGAGTAATCATCCAAAAAAAGATCTGGAGCGAGCAGTGGTCTGTAAACTCGAGCTCTGAGAGTGCTGAAACTGTTTGGTTGATATCTCGAGTTATACCAATCCAATTAAGGCGTGTAAGATACCAAAAGAAATCTCGCAAGACGAGGAATCTGTGAAGGTCTGGTTTGCATCAATCGGAGCAGTGGAAGGCTTCCAAATCGTCTGAGCAAAACACAACCTCGCAGAAACGGATCTACCTTTCTAAAGTGAGTTGTTAACCCCCAAAACCTTTACTTTTCATTTTCCAAATGATATGAACGATTGGTGGAACTATTATACACTAATCCAAGTGTATAATATGTCTTCATAAGGTTATTTTATTGATGTAAAGGTTAGATACTAACCTAGAGCAAATATTGGAAAACTAGGAAACGAGTTAACCGGAAAACACCCATTCTAGGGGCTGTTTTCGTATCAACGTTTGAGGGTTAAACTAGCACTTTGAGGAGGCTGTTTAACACTCATATTTGAGCAAGGAATCAGTTCTTAATCCACCGTGGCCAAGGCTTTGACCATTGGATCAAGAAGGAAAAGTTTAAAGCTCAATTAAGGTGAGGATCGACATCTAGTTGCTTACAACTTGTAGGTTAAGCATGAGATTACCTAAATGCCTAAATCATGTTTTCCATGGATTATGATGATAAATTATTGATGAAATATTGATCTATTTTCCAAAGAATGAAATGGGAAGTGATTTGGTAAAGTATTGATAAAAATGGAGTTAAATGAACTATTGTGTGAAATAGGCATTTACTCATATGTGAATTGTGTAGATACATAAGTGATTATTTATGTATTACATTGAATGATTAAGTTGTTGCTACATATCTCTAAATATGTAGGGTTTTACAAATGGAATATATGATGGATAAGAATAATCTTAATAGTATTAAAATACTAGTTAATGATTGTTGTAATTGTTAAGGAATTGAATCTAAGGATTTGATTGTAATTGATGAACTTGATTGTGATGCAAGTGACTAAATTGATGTAATGTGATGCTAAGGCTATGGTTGGGCAGTCCGTAAGGATGTCCCAAATTAGATTATTGCTATTACAATTCTAGGCATAGTGAGTGCTTAGGAATTGGGGTCTATGCCAATGTAAGGAGATGTACTTGAGCCCGTGCTCATAGAATTGCATTGGGTAGACATGATGGGGTGATTGTTGTGCATGGTGATGTAGTTGAGTTGGACTCAATAAATGCACGGTGGAGTAGTTAACTTGTGTTAAATAAGATGCATGGTGATGTAGTCGAGTTGGACTCGAGAATGCAAACATATGTGTTAGGGTTGAACCCTATGTATTGTTGTGACTAGGGGTCACGGGGTTTGGGCTATGTTTGGTAAACAAACCTTGGGCCTACGGGCCGACTACTTGACTTTATATATAAAGTAAGTATATAGTAAAAAGGGGTAACTTGGGGTTACGGCCTAGATTATACTATCACCCTATTTGAGGGTCTTGTGTTTGAAATACTTGTTGTATATCTATTAGATGCCATCCACACCAGCACTTTATAGCCCTATAGAGTGCTGACCCCTTCGGGGGCGTCCCACCACCATTTTTCAGGTTGAGGCTAGAGCTTGCTTCCTGTGCTCGTTGCTCGAGTGATCATCTAGGAGGGAAGACTTGGTTCGTGCTTCCTCCATTCGGTTTTTAAACATTAATAAACATGCTCATGAATATTTTACTATAGAGCCTGCGTGCTCATGTTGGCCACGTGTGGCATTTGTTTTCAAACTATGTTTTCCGCTACGTATTCGATTGCTTATTATGTTGTTTATGGATGGCTTACGTGTGAATGATATTCGAGACGCCTTGTATAATATGAATGTGTTAGACTGCGGTTGACTATTCGTATTGTACGGCGGGTTGTTGACGTGTCCGGGGAGGTCCGGGGCGTGACAAAACATGCTAGACAAATATAAAGCAAATAATATTCTAAGTTGAGCTTAAATATATGGAAGATGAGATGATTAAAAGTGAAGGAAAATGGAGTTATTTATAGGTATTTAGCACCAACTATGCCGGATACCCGACTAGGTATGCGAGATTCCCGACTGGGTATTTGTCAAATCATATCTTTTTCGCACGTGTACTTTCGAAAGTCTATTTGCCCGAAACCACTTCATACCCGACTGAGTATATGAAATACCCTACCGAGTATTTGTGTAATATCGCAACAACTTCATTTTTCTCTTCATACCCGATAGGTAAATAGTATACCCGACCGGGTAAGTCACCAAATCACATTTCTTGCATGATTTCTTGCTCCCTTACACATTTCTTTGATCTTGTAATATATCTTTAATGCTCCTTTGTTGTAGACTAATTTATTCAAGTTCAAAATCTTCTAAAACTAATAAATTACAATAAACCAGAAAAATAAAAGGTTGCACCGTACCATAAATGTGCAATTACCACAACAACACACCGCAAAAACTAATTAAAAGTAAAAACTTAAGCACTCCAAAACCAATGCAATCATAAAGGGAGGGAAGGGATGATTGATTGATTTTTGTTTTACTAATTTATCTATATTTATTAGTTTTAGACTACAAATGACTACATAACTAGTTATACCATGTATTTTTATTTTTATGTACTGTTCTAACTCCATTTCATTTCAATTTTTCTAAATGTAAAAATCATTTTAAATTTATATATGATCCCCCTTCCCTTTCTTCTGAAATTCCCCAACCAAATTGGCCCTTAGTCCCCGGTTGATGTTGTTTTCCCAGGTATCGTGAAATTCAAATAAGTAACATAGTATTGCTTATTGCTCTTCTATGCAATGAATGTATCCGAAGAATGTATTATGATAAATAAATAACTCACAATAATGTATCCTAATAATGTACCAAAAAATTGCACACATAATATTTGTTTTGTGTTACGTTATTTGAATACATTTGTTAGAAATTATTTTATTGTGTGTGATTGCATTAGTTATCTTTGTATTTGGATCTAGAAACACTTTCTAATACGGAAGCATAACCTTCAGGTATTATATATATATGAAGAATGTATTATATATATGAAGAATAAGCTTCTGTAACCCTAACTTTGGCAATTAGGCATCCATTTATTCTGGTAAATATTTGTGTAAATAAGTTTTATTTAAGTAATATTTTTGAAAAAAATCATTACAAAATATAATCATTTAATTTTATGGTCAATCATAATAAACTTTAATTAAGCAAGATGACGAAAACAATATAGCCCAGTTTCTAATTATTTGTCGCAATAAAAGTCATTCAGTCTAAGAAATATACACTCTATCTCAATTCAAAATTTTATTTTATTCATGGACATTTCATTTCTATCATATGAATCAATTAACAATTTTAAATGACAATTTGTTTATCACATATAAAAAACGATACTCTCTCCATTACTAAAATTTGGCCAAAGTTAACTTGTATGTAGAATAATAAAGTAAAAACTAATGAACTAAGATTTGCATAGAGGAGATATGAATAATTCTAACCACATTTCTATTACTACCTCCGTCCCACTAAGATTGGGACAAGATAATGTGCCACGATTATTAAGAAAAGCGAGTTTGTGGTTGATATTAAATCGATAAAGTAAGAATAGAGTAAGAATTGTTTAGAGCCACACAATCTTTACCAAATTCGGTATGAGACAATCTTAGTGGGTTTTTCCGAAAAATATAAAATGAGATAATCTTAGCGAGACGGAGGGAGTAATTTATATGGAAATTACAATTTCTTACAATGGCTAAAACTGAAAATTTGACGTTGTTTTATGAGACGGATGGAGTGTATTCATATCTTCACAATTATGATCAATTATCAAATTATCTTACATAGTTACACAAATAATTTCTCAAAATATATTCAAATTAGTTCGCGCCCACAAAATATAAAAATTCAATATTCTTTAAAGTTTATATCTTTTTTATTTATATTTTAATTTTATAAAAAAGTATACCAAAATCATTAAATTAATAACTTTTATCATTTTTCATATGCCACCAATATTTAATACTCCGTATATAAATGTAGAAAATATATATAAAATTTCATCTGCTCGAGAGTTTAAGATCTATTTTTTTTTAAATAAATCCGATTGCTAGTATTAAAAATAAAAAATTTTCATAACATAGCAATATAGAAAATAATGTAATATTGTGCATCATATTGTAATTTATTTCAAATTGAACTTAAGTGTGCATTTTTAATACTTAAAAATATTACGTAGCAATTCACATTTTTTATTTTTTATATATCGGAATGTTTGACTTTTTAAATCATAATTATTGTTAAAAATAAAATTGTCACATAAATAATGTTTAATAAAAAAAAGTAGGAATTTATGCATTTATTAAAAGGAAAATGTGGTAAGTACACATTGACGGTGTTGGGTTATGGACAAAAACTGAATAAACTAATTAAATACATATAAATTGATGAAAGAATAATTTTATTGACGGAGTTGTGATAATTCAAGATTAGAAAAGTGTGGATATTTTCTACTGCAGTGAAATAAATATAGCGTAATCTAGAATAAATATGGAGCATGTAATTACGTATTTCTTAGAATAATTTGGAAAAGGTGGCAAAAAAAGAGAAAGATCAATGTGATGTCAACAACAAATGTGACTTTAAAAACTTGAATTTTTGTTTCAAAAAGGAAGGGCATCGACTTTAGACCCTGTCCTACCCAGATCCGTGCAAGACCGGGCCGGAAAAGAACAGCTAACGTAAACCCATCTTCCATCCTCAACTTCACTGTCATCCTTCTTCTTTCTACGCACACGAATGAATTGTTGGCATTCTACTAATATGGCAACACAATAAGAACACAAAGTGAGTTCATTCTCACGAACACAGTAATTTTTCAGTTTTTGGAACAATTGGCTCTTGATTCACTGAGTTAACTCGTCCCGGGTGCGGTAGCGCGAGGCAAAGACAAGACGGGTCCCACGCGATTTCCTCTAGCAGAAATGCTCCATCAAATATAGATACAGATATTTGTATGTATATGTATGTGTGGACTGGAGTATAAATTACAGTACGAGCTGGAACCCACCCACCTACCGACCTAACCCCACATTTTATCGAAAGCCGTGCTTGGATTTGATGTGTTTCTGACTGCAAGACTGGAACTTTATTTACGGAGTACTTCGCTAGTCTCAACTCCACCTAATCATGGCTACGATACAGTGAAATGTAAACCTTTAGCTCTTGTCCTCACATTGATGTATTTTAGTAAGTATTTGAGCACTTTAACTTTTTGGGATTTGAAGATTCTTTATTACGCTTAGTTAATGCGGAGTAATTATACCTGGCCAACCTTCTTTATTTGCATTAATTTTGAAGCATTCATTTCGGGTTCCATTATTTAATTTTTTATTTGGCATTATCTGTCCTTCACGGGTGGAGTTTTTCCTCGGTGGCGCCTTTGAGAGCCTTCTGGGGAGGGTTTTGGAGTCCAGGCTGATATTTGGCTCTCCAAGTTGAATCTTTTGGCCTGGATTCTTTCGAAATTTGCCATATTTTGATTTCGTGGAGGTTCTGCAAAAATGGCTATGAATACTGGGGGGAGACTTATTGCTGGTTCTCACAATAGGAATGAATTTGTGCTCATCAATGCTGATGAAGTTGGAAGAGTAAGTTTCTACAGTCCCCGTTTCTTCTCCTTCTCCTTCTTTTTCTTCCACAGTTTGTTCTTGAAATACGCCAATATGTCACTCACATGTGAGTAACCATTCTCTTAAGAATTGTTATGACTAGGGTTTCTGCCTTTGTAGTGATATTCTAATGCAATTTCTGAGCCTGGTATTTTCTGACTTTCTTAATTGTGTAGAAACAGCTCTAAAAAGTTCTACTTTTATTGTGTTTCTCCTACCTTTAATTAGAGATTGCTTGAGCTGTTTCTGAGAGTATGTGTGCTGCAGTAAGCAATTACTTTTTTTTACTCTTTAGAATTATCTACTGCTTAAGGACTAAAGGAGTGATCTCTGTCACTTTATGCCTATAATATGATTATGTCTATCACTTTTTCTGTGTTGTAGAACTCTGGTTCTGTATGTATGTTGGTATGGACAAACTTTTTTGCTGTGGGCATTCATGGATGTTAAAGTAACTTGGAGTCTTCCCCGAGTCCTGGCTATTCTTGCCTCCCTTACTTTGACCTTACAATCTTCTTCTGTCCGGCAATGTCATAAAGAAATAAACTACACATAATGAGAAAATGTATCTCAATTCTGGATGTGGCAAAAAATCAGCTAATACTCCATATGTCACATGCTTGTAGATTTAAACTCTTATTAGAGCTCTAAGTACACTCGTGCAAGGTTCTAATGTTTAGTTTTAGAAAGAAAAAAATAGAGGAATGAGTGGTAGCAAAAAATGTGGCCATGTTTTCAATTTATCATCTCTGAATATATACCAGCATGCATTCATGATACAAATTGTTTTAAAAGTAGTCAAAGAAGCTCATGTGAAAATCCTTGAAGGTGATACTTGCGTTTCTCTTATTGTACATGTCGATTGATTGACCAGATCTTAAAAGAATCACTGTTTGATGAAAATTTTATTTCAGATAAAATCGGTGCGAGAATTAAGTGGCCAAATTTGCAAGATTTGTGGTGATGAAATAGAGATCACCGTAGAGGGAGAGGTCTTTGTTGCTTGCAACGAATGTGCGTTCCCTATTTGCAGGCCTTGTTATGAGTATGAGAGAAGAGAAGGAAATCAGGCTTGCCCTCAGTGCAAAACTAGATACAAACGAATCAAAGGCTAGTAGTCGTTTTCTCCCTTGTAAAATCACCATTGGAGGAAACCTACTCAAACTCTCAAAGTTTTATATATGGAGTTAACATGCTGGCATATAATGCAGGTAGCCCTCGTGTTGACGGGGATGAGGAAGAAGATGGTGTTGATGACTTAGAGCACGAGTTTGATTGTGATATTGAAGCTCTGGGTCCTGTGTTAGGTGCAGGGACTATTTTATCTCCCTATAGCCATGGCGGTCTTGCTAATTCATCTGGAAATGAAGCGTCAACCCCTGGTTTAGACATACCTCTTCTGACCTATGGTGAAGAGGTAGTAATTATCGGTCTTGCATATCAAGTGGACGTTTTCACATTTCTCATCATTTTCTAAAGAATTGACTTTGGTTTATTTGTTGTCCAATATGACTCACATGATCCTCCCTGTTCTAGGATATTGAAATCTCTTCCACTCAAAATGCTCTTATACTATCTTCATCTGCTAGTGTTGTAAATGTTGCTTCTCCTAATGGCGCAAGATCTTCTTCTCGTAAGACATTCTGGTCTATAAGATATGATATGAGTTGTCTAATTTTTTTTTTTGAAAACGATATGAGTTGTCTAATTAAACATTTCATTTTCTTGAAAGTGCAAACCACTTAAACCTGTAAATTCTTCTTATAGCACAACGCAGGCCAATGGTTCCAGAGAAGGACACCGCATTGTATGGCTATGGAAGTGTGGCATGGAAGGACCGCATGGAGGAGTGGAAACAAAAGCAGGGAGACAAACTTCAGGTGATAAAGCACAAGGGAGAAAGTATTGATGGTGATGAACTTGACGGTTCTGATATGCCAATGTACGTTTACGGATAACGTGTTATCTTCAAAACATATGGATGGGTTTGTTGTTAACTAGCATTTTGGTAAATCTATTCTCAGGATGGATGAAGGGAGGCAGCCCCTATCAAGAAAATTGCCTATCGCTTCGAGCAGAATAAATCCGTACAGGATTTTGATTATCCTTCGCCTCGTGATTCTCGGCGTCTTTTTCCACTACAGGATTCTCCATCCAGTTAAAGATGCATATGGTTTGTGGCTGACCTCAGTAATTTGTGAGATATGGTTTGCAGTCTCATGGATTCTCGATCAGTTCCCAAAGTGGTGTCCGATAGTACGAGAAACATACCTAGACCGCTTATCACTTAGGTAGACTGTAAACTTGAAGATCCTTCTTACTTGGTATTCTTTGTGAAGAAGAAGAAGAAAATGTTAGTTTAAACCTTCTTTTACCTTTTCAGGTATGAGAGAGAAGGAAAGCCATCTGGAATGGCTCATATTGATATCTTTGTGAGCACAGTTGATCCCATGAAAGAGCCTCCATTAATCACTGCAAATACAGTTTTATCCATTCTGGCTGTTGACTACCCTGTTGAGAAAGTATCGTGCTATGTATCAGATGATGGTGCTGCTATGCTTACATTCGAAGCCCTTTCTGAGACATCCGAATTTGCTAGAAAATGGGTTCCTTTCTGCAAGAAATTCAATATTGAACCCCGGGCTCCTGAGTGGTATTTTTCTCTGAAAATTGATTATTTGAAAGACAAAGTCAATCCAGCATTTGTCAGGGAGCGGCGTGAAATGAAGGTCTTTGATATTTGTGCATAATTATTTCTTGTGTGATGATTTTTTATGTTTAAAAGAACTTTGGGTTACATGGGGCTTAAGAAGTTCAGATGAAATTGTTGATTCATGTTCATTTGATCATTTGGTTATGTCTTTTACAGAGAGAATATGAAGAATTTAAAGTTCGGATAAATGTTTTGGTCGCAATAGCCCAAAAAGTTCCTGAGGAAGGTTGGACAATGCAGGATGGCACTCCTTGGCCAGGAAACAACGTCAGAGATCACCCTGGTATGATCCAGGTGAGTGAGAATCTAAATATTCCTATCCTCTAATATTTGTAGGACTGCAATATTTATTCTTAGTCTTTGGGTTAACATTTGTCATATAAGCAATTTAGCCCTATAAGCAATGTTTGAAATGTCTGGACGAACGAAAAGGTTATGCTTAAAGATTATTACTTATGAAGGTTGAAACAATACCAACCAAATAAATGTTTTCTAAAAAGGAAATGTAAAGGTAGTTTGGGTCTGAATGAAAAGGTTTTGCTTAAAGATAGTTTTGAGAATATTATATCGACAGTTCTTTAGCGCATCAGATATATATTTTGTCGATGCAGTGTACTCCGTATTTTCGTATTTTAAGTCTTGACATTTGATTTCACTTACCATTCGAACTTCAAAGGTGCATAAAAGAGCCTACACCATTTCCTCCTCTCTCGCTTCTAACAAGTGAGGTTATCGTCCAATAAATTTGCTGCTGACTGCACTCTAAGTCTGTATTTCATTTTTTCACCCTTGTGCTATTGTGGCCTATTGGGTTCATCATTGTGCATCAGCTTTTGTGTATTGTAAATCAATTTATTAATCATATAGAGGTCTTAAACAAGGACATGCAAGGTAACTGAGGGGCTTCATTCTTTTTGGGAATAATTATTTCATTTTCTGGCTTGGAATATAGGTATTCCTTGGTCAAGATGGTATTCAAGATATTGAAGGAAATCAGTTGCCTCGACTGGTATATGTTTCTCGTGAAAAGAGACCTGGATTTGATCACCATAAAAAGGCAGGAGCCATGAATGCGCTGGTGAGAGCTGATTTTCTTGTAAAGTTAATAATGACTAATGCTGGAATACAGTTACTGCTCACAAGGGAACAATATCAATGTATTAACTTGAAATCACCTAATCAATGGTATTTTTCTGACAACAGATGCGAGTTTCAGCAGTCATCTCAAATGCTCCTTTCCTTCTAAATGTTGACTGTGATCATTATATCAACAACAGCAAGGCATTGAGAGAGGCAATGTGTTTCTTGATGGATCCCACATCAGGGAAGAAAATCTGCTATGTGCAGTTCCCACAAAGGTTTGATGGCATTGATCGTCATGATCGATACTCAAACCGAAATGTTGTATTTTTTGATGTATGTATACATACTCCTTTATATTTGTTTAATAGTTACATTTTTTTCACAATCTTGATCAAAACTTAATTTTGTGCTCAAAAAACAGATTAACATGAAAGGTTTAGATGGTATACAAGGGCCAATATATGTTGGAACAGGATGTGTGTTTAGAAGACAAGCACTTTATGGATATGATGCTCCTGCTAAGAAAAAGAAGCCTAGCATGACTTGCAATTGTTGGTCAAAGCTATGTTGCCTCTGTTGTGGGCGTACAAAGAGCAGCAAAGGAAAATCAAAGAGAAGTACAAAGAAAAAAACAAAGCAGAGGGATACATCAAAACAGATACATGCGCTTGAAGCCATTGAAGAAGGAGTTGGCGGTAAGTTATATTTCGTATTAAAAAATTTCTTCTTTCAAAAGCGCAGTGTGCATCTTAGGTAATTGCATCCGTAGATAATTATTTAAAGTTTGTTAAAGAATCTTCAATATGATTGGTCTTGAACACAGAAACAAGTGTTGATCCATCCAAGGTTTCCCAAACTAAGCTGGAGAAAAAATTTGGGCAGTCTCCTTCTTTTGTAGCTTCAATACTCTTAGAAAATGGAGGTCTTCCTGGTGATGCTAGTTCCTCAATTCTCTTGAAAGAAGCTATTCATGTCATCAGCTGTGGATATGAAGATAAAACCGAATGGGGAAAGGAGGTAAGAGATGTTGAATAATACCTCTTGACAATTGTGTAATGTATCATGTATGCTTGCTCCATCAAATCACACAAGTTAATAAATCATATTGGGGGGAATAACTAAAGCTTTTAGTAATTCACCTATAATGCCCTCATTCAAAGAAATTAATTTATGCCCCTCTTGAGAAGAGAGTGAAAAGTGTACATTTAGAAATAAGTCTTTAATGCAGTAACGGACATACTCCACCCCGAAAAGATGTGAAAACTATTTCTAGTCCTTAATGCAGATAGAAATATAGAAGTATGTGGACAGATGATTGGGATAGGAGTATACATGTGCTCCCTCAGTCCCATCATGTTAGATACATTTTTTCGTTTTGGGTTGTCCAACAAGTATGACCACTTTTCTAATTGAGTATTGAACAATACTAAGAGCCCAATTGGTGACCCCAATTTTTGGTTTATTAGCCTTGTCAACTTTTGTACCAAGCACACAACTTTAGATTTCATGCGTTGAATTGTGTAATAATCAAAATAAGTAAGGTTGGGATTACTTTTTCGTTGAATCTGCTGAATTTGCCAAGTAAGACTGTTTTAGCTATTTTTTTTTCTAAATTTTATTAATATATATTTTTTCACAATCCAGCAGTTTAAGCCAAAATTTAACCATTTCAGCCGGTTCAGCCAATTTGAGTGTTAGTAAACAGCTCTAAATTTCTACTTTCCCACTTTATCCATTTATCTATCATTTCACCTTTTACTTTCCTGCTGCTTTTCCATCAAATAGCAGAATCTGAGATAGCGAACTATACTAGTGACCTACCCCATTTTATTGTAATTGTGCAAATTAATGATTGGACCATAAAAACTAGATTTTTGTGGATAAATAAACAGATTATCTTTTTGATTTTTGCATTGCTCATGAAGATTGTGATAGTAAAACAACTACATCCTTTATTTTCTTAAAACCCAAATGCATCTTACATTATGGGTCTGAGGTAGTATTTATTCTTGGATTTCTTGTTCATAAACAATACTTCGATGTCTGAACAGGTTGGCTGGATTTATGGGTCCGTCACAGAAGATATATTGACAGGATTTAAGATGCATTGTCATGGCTGGCGGTCTGTGTATTGCATGCCTAAACGTCCCGCCTTTAAGGGTTCTGCTCCTATCAATCTCTCAGACCGCCTCCACCAGGTTCTTAGATGGGCTCTTGGATCTGTTGAGATTTTCCTTAGCAAGCATTGTCCCATATGGTATGGCTATGGAGGGGGGTTGAAGGGGTTAGAAAGGTTTTCCTACATAAGTTCTGTTGTATACCCTTTCACCTCCATTCCCTTGATTGTGTACTGTTCATTACCCGCCATATGTCTCCTCACCGGCAAATTCATTGTTCCTGAGGTAAGCTGAGTTAAAATATGGCATTTTTTGCATATGCCTCTGACATAAATTGATGCATCACATCAAAATCATTTCATTTATTTATTGGCCCAGTTGGTTTGACCACTGCTATAAAACAACTTAAAAGCGATGTCCGGAAAAATGTGCTTTCAAACTATGTGACCTATCTTTGAAAAATTCGTACTCTGTAGTTATTTAAAATTTTAGTTAAAAAGTCTCACAGCAATACATCACCTCAATACTATCAATTAATGGGTGAATTGGTGTTTGCACCCCATTTTTAAAATCATTAATATTTGCCGCCCAAAATTAGAAAAATCTACTAATAATGGGACACAAACTTCAATTCAGAAACTGGGTGCACACTCACCTTTGGATTGATTGAAAAATGGACGCGGGTTCCTAAATTTGGGTGCAGAAAATAATGATTTCAACAATAGGGTGGAAACACAATTTTGGATTGAAAAACAAGGAACAAACTCCAATTCCACCTTCATAAAGTGCCCCACTTGTTTCCTCACATCATAGCTCAACAAGTTATATCCACAGTTTAGCACTTTATAACAGTAATACCAACTAACTGGCCAATAGTTTAGTTTTTTATTCTTAAGGAATTTGTTAGTGTGTGAACTTGAGCTAACTACTGCTGTTTATATACCACCAGATAAGTAATTATGCAAGCATAGTATTCATGGCCATGTTCATTTCTATTGCTGCCACTGGTATCCTTGAGATGCAATGGGGCGGTGTTGGAATAGACGACTGGTGGAGAAATGAGCAGTTCTGGGTGATCGGGGGTGCTTCCTCCCACCTCTTTGCTCTCTTTCAGGGCCTACTTAAGGTTCTTGCCGGCGTAGAAACTAATTTCACTGTCACATCTAAAGGAGGAGACGATGGCGACTTTTCCGAGCTCTATCTCTTTAAGTGGACATCCTTGTTAATACCCCCAATGACTCTACTCATAATAAACATAATTGGGGTTGTGGTCGGGATCTCTGATGCAATTAATAATGGATATGATTCTTGGGGCCCGTTGTTCGGTAAGTTATTTTTTGCCTTTTGGGTCATTGTTCACCTCTACCCCTTCCTAAAAGGTTTGATGGGAAAGCAAAACCGAACACCAACCATAGTCGTCGTGTGGTCCATCCTTCTGGCTTCAATTTTGACCCTATTGTGGGTGAGAGTCAATCCCTTTGTTTCCAGGGATGGCCCTGTATTAGAAGTCTGCAATTTGAACTGCGATGACAGATAGATTGTCTTGGAATTCCTTCACCTGATAGGTGCCAGAGTCCTTGATGAGAAATGTTTTCTGCTCTGTGATTGCATGTCACTAGAAATAATATAGAGCAGAGAGGATGTAGATCATCAGTGTAGATATGAAATGTTCACACAGCTTTTTTGCTTAGGAATTGTTTTATTTATTATTGGTTTGTGAAATACCAAGTCTCATAATGTCATATTGGTTATCTATTTTTTCCCTTAGGGAATTTTGTATTTGCCTATTTGGTATAGTCTCCTCTAAAAAGGGGTATGAAGTTTGTAGTTTTGTACTATTTGCTGTAACTAAGAATTCTGTTAGATTACTTGTTCTTTTGTTTTGGAATTTAGATTTTATGCGGTTCTAACTTCTAAATATGCACAATCATGATTGTATCATTCGAAGTACTTGGTTACTATGTTTTAGGGTTTTAGCCTCTAGCTAAAAGATGGGTATTGGAAGGGTTAGTAACTTATTATTAGTGGGTCACATTAGGAATTTTAACTTAGAACTGGGGATGGACTGGGACTGGGTCGAACCGGGCTCCGGGGCGGGATTGGGCGGGCTCGGGTTGGCCTTGTCGGGTCGGGCCTAAAAAACGAGTCTGAAGCACGCCCTTATAGCCACCGGATCGGGACCAGGTCAAGAGGGGCTTCGGGCCTAAACAGGATCGGGTTGGGCCGATTCTAAACAGTTCCGTGCCCTGGCCAGGCCCGGGGTGAGTCTAACCCGTTCCAGTCAATCCCTACTTAGAGCATCTCCAACTCTCGAAGTGAGGTGATTTGACCTTTCTCTCTCTTTTCCAAGGATTTGTCTACTAGTTTCAGATTAATTTGACGGATTGTGAAATGATGTTTGATACTACCTCTGTCCTTTTATATTGGGACGGAAGAGGGTGACACAAGTTTTAAGAAAAGTGAATTTGTAGGATTGATATTAATTGATACAGTAAGAATAAAGTAAGAATGATTTTGAGCCACACAAACTTTATCAAATAAGGTATTGGACAAGTAAATAGGAACATCCCAATATGGTAAAACGGGACATTAAAAAGGGGACGGAGGGAGTAAATTAGATGTTTCGTCTTAGCGATTAGCAGGTAAATAAAACATATAATGGCTTTTGATAACAAGTTATGTGTCTCCTAATTCAACTGCTACAACTTCTAACGTTTCTTTAAATCTTATAGAAACTTGATGTTTAATTTTTTCTACGGTTCAATCTAGGGATGGACCCGGGCCGGGCCGGTTCCGGTTCCGGGCCGGGCCCGGGCGGGCTTTTTTTCGGGTTACATGGGCCCGGAACCGGCCCGGGTTGATACCGGGTCCGGGCCTAACCGGGCCGGGCCGGGCCGGGCCCGGTTCAATGTTTTTTTTTTTTTTTTTTTTTTTTTTGACTTTCTTGTTATCTCCCTACCCCCCCCCCCTCACCCCCACGCCCCAAACCTCCCTAAAACACCCAGCCCTACCCTAGGAAAAGAAAAAAAATTGAAAAAAACAAAAAAAAAAAAAAAATGAACCGGGCCCGGCCCGAACCGCCCGGGCCGGTTCAACAAAAACAAGGCCCGGAACCGGCCCGCCCGACCCGCCAAAACGGGCTAAAAGCCCGGAACCGGCCAACCGGGCCCGGTCCGGTCCGGGCCCGCACAGTAGCGGGCCGGTCCGGTTCCGGGCCGGTTCGGCCCGGCCCAGTCCATCCCACTTCAATCGAAGAGTAAGAATGTTTTTACTCGGATTGGTTTTACATAGATCATACCACATTTGAATAGTTAAAAAATACACAAAGATTAGACATTTATCATACTAGATCAGATTACAAAACTTCAGTTCAAGTAAAAATATCCTAAAAACAATTATTAGAGAATTTGACCAATTTTTATATGGATTTTTTGAAATTTCAAACTGTAGAGTTTGCTATATATTTGTACTAGTCCAAATAAATCTTAGGCTTTGTTTGCAAACTCTAGAAAAAAAGTACTCCTCAGCTTTTGGGTTAAAAAGTACTTATTTTATCAAACACCACCAACTTTTACTTTTCTCGGGTTTCGTGTGAAAAGTGCTTTTTACTCTTTCTATTACACAAAAAGCACTTATTTTACCAAATATTATCAACTTTTACCATTAATCACTTTTTTTTAGGAGAAGCAATTGCAAACAAACTTTATAAGTATTGCACTAAAATATATAAATTCAAACAAAATTTCTCTCTGTTCATCATCATAAGTATTGCACTAAAATAGAGCACTAATAGGGTAGTAGAAGAATGGAAAACAAATAATACTACGTCTATTTTATCTTAATTATTGGTTATGAAGTATTTCGTTCCTACACAATCTTTATATTTCCATTTTGATTGACTAGTTAGTATTTATAAAATTAAAATTGTGTGAAGTGACTTTGGTCAAAAGTTAATGAGTAAGATTAAAGATAAGCTAGATTGAAAAATAAAACACACACAACTTACTCTTTTGATCTGGTGTGGGGTTGAAATATGTCCTAAGTCTTCTAAACTTGTTCCCGATTAGGTTAAAGTAGGATTAGCTAGCATAGCAAACAATTAAAAAGCAATTCTTTCTTTATTACCTTTTAAACTCTATCTTAAAATAATTTGATAAATTTAATGTTATGTGCCCTTTTTTATTTTCAAATAACATTCCTTTGATTTGTCATTTTTTAAGGTTTAGTGAGTTGATACTTTTTTTTCTAGAGCACTTCAATTATAAAATCAAATTTTTTCATTGTCTAAATTGAACTTAGAATGCAATATATTTAAATGTTGTTGTGTATATATTAATGGTTTTTTTTAAAATAAAAAATAGGCGCAGAGCTCTAGACTAACAAAAAACATTCGCCCCGTTGTACTAGCGAAAAAATTCGACCTACTACACTAGTGAAAAAACATCACCCCCTACACTATTGAAATTTTTTTGCCCCTGTTGACTCAAAATCCTGAATCCGCTCCTGATCGTGTCCACCATTGTTGGTTCGAGCGATCGAGCATATCTATTGGCGCAGTACATGATGCATAAAACATGAAACTTTACATGCATTTTATCCTCTCACTCTTTGATTGCGCCCTTAGTTTTATCATTGAGAATATTAGTTACCTTGATCTTAAAGAATGTCCCAGTGAAAGGGAAAATTAATTACTTATCACATTATTTCCCCCTAAATCCATCCTTGGACACTATTACGATTTACGAGACAATACATCACTAGATGGAACCAATTCATATTTATATATTGTTTTGACAGAAAATTCATATTTATATTCGAACTATAATAATAAAGTCTTTTTTAATCCATTCTCATAATTTTTGGTGCTTTAGTAATCTTTTACAAGCGTTCCTTATAAGTTATAATGTCTCATGGTACGTGTAGGGCACTTTTAAGTTTTATACCTATATGAAACGTTTTAGTGGGTACAAAAAATTTCTTAAACTTGGGTACTCTCATAGAGCACAAGATTAAGTTTGTGGTTGTGTCCAAGGTCACCCCTAACTCTCGTGTAGTAGATCTTCATGGGTTATCACAAATCTCATAATAAATGAAATGTATAAAATAAAAAGAATAAAATCACTCACAGTATGAAAGCGTATTAGGATGTTTTTACTTGAACTGTAATTTGCTGGTCTGGTCTGGTCTGATCAGGTCTGGTCTGGTCTGAACTGGTCTGGTCTGGTCTGATTTCTTTGTATTTTTATAACTACCCAAGTCTGGTCTGGTCTGGTCTGGGACAAATTACAGTCCAAATAAAAATATCCTTAGTCCTCACGCCCATTTGAGAAGTCCTCATAATTAAGTTATGGACAGTAATCTATGACATTTTGAATAGATCATATGGTAAAAAACTGGTGAAAAAACATGGGAAAAGAAGAAAATGTTATAATAAATCAACTCTTATCAAAATGACACAAAAAGACATACTATGAGCTTGAGGACTATGAACTACAATAGGGTAACATATCAATCTTATTTATTTGAGAAAGAATGTGTATACATGCTCTAATGTGCATGAGTCAGCATGGCCGCGATTCCTATAGTCATGTGGAAGTTTGAAAACAAATGAATCCCTTTTTTAGCCCTTGTCTTTTTGAGATCAAATGAAGGTTGTTATCATCAGTCATATATGGACTAAAAAGAAAACCAAATTATATTGTAGGGACGATTTTTTTTTGCAGGGATCTAAACCAAAATGTGCTATATTTGCAGAAGAAAGGGAATAGGGTCTAGAGATTTTGAAATGGGTGTAAATGGCATCTGAGATCAAATGAAGGTTGTTATCATCAGTCATATATGGACTAAAAAGAAAACCAAATTATATTGCAGGGACGAAAAACAAAAAAATAATAATTTTACAGGGATGTAAACCAAAATGTGTTATATTTGCGGGACTAAAAACATATTTAAACCAATTTTTAATTATATTTTGCTTTTATTTTGAATAATTGTTTTAAAAACAATTACAACGTGGTCCAAGTTAATAAGGAACTAGGCAACAAATAAAAAAAATACTCTCTTCGTCATTAAATATTTGACTTTACAATGTATTTCCTATTATTTGTAAAAAAAATGTTTTTTCCTATTATTTCTCTTTCTTCTCAAATCTTAAACGTATAATTTTTAATTGGGAAAATCACACTTTTAGTCCTTGAAATGTCGGACCCGTATTCCTAATTTTGTAAATGTCGTTCCTCAATTGTCCTAAATGTTGTAAGTGTGGTCCTTTGAAGGGTGAAATAGACAATGTGGGCGAGAGTACATTTCACCCCTTAGAGGGCCACACTTACAACAACTTAGATAATTGAGGGGTGACATTTACAATATCAAAAATACGGGTTTGACATTTCATTTTTGTAACTATTTTAGAGACTAAAAGTGCGATTCTCCTTTTTATTTTATTAATGTCTTTGTTGATTAAACTTGAGTACTTGAAAGAATTTTAAATACTACCTCCGTCCCATTTATATTGGGATAAAAGAGGGTGACACGGTTATTAAGAAAAGTGAGTTTGTGTGGTTGATATTAATTGATAAAGTAAGAATAAAGTAAGAATGATTTAGAGCCGCACAAACTTTGCAAATATGGTATGGAACAATTTAAGTGGGACTTTCCGAAAAGATAAAACGGGACAATATAAATGGGACGGAAGGAGTAAAAGGAAGTAATTTAAAAGAAACGTCGATGGCCGGATTCAGAATAATCGAAATGGGAAGGCGTGAATCGGGAAAAGTCTCCAACCCATACCCATATAATCTTCGTGATTGGTACAGTGTTGGGTCCCACGGTTGAAGTAGGCTCTTCCGCACTCTTCTTTCAACTTTACCCGCTCCGCTCCCTCCATTTTGGCGGGGAAATTCACACCCCCGCTCCCTTAGAGGGAAAGTTCAAAAAAATTCAAAC